ATGTATAGAAGCTACTCACTAATGAATCATCGAGATTTCCTCTCAACCCCAGGTAAATTAATCATATTCTATGGTGGAGCTAGGAAATATCAGAAGTTTTAGCTACAATACTCACTCAGTTTATGTATTAGCTACAATATGCTTTTTTGGCATTGAAGAAACAACCTGTCCAAAAAGAATGAATAAACATACCTAGAAAAATGGAGTTTAAGTAAAAGGATACAAGTATTACAGGAATCTCCAGACCATACCTTTACATCAGAAAATCCAACAAAATTGTCAAGCTCACCAAAATGTGTTTGCACTGGTGCCTTAGCATGGAGAGGATCTGCAAGTTCTGGTGAAGGCACACTATAGAAGGCTACCACAGCATCAACCCTTGGGACCAACACAGAACTTGCAATAGCAAGAACACCGCCCATGCAGTAACCAGTTACACAAACCTATTGAACATTCAAAGGCTATTGCAACAGATAACTGCCCTTTATCACACCTTCTTTAAAGTGAAACAGAGTTCATTTTAGAAGTAAAAAGGATGGAAAATGGATCTAATAAAATAGGAGATTAGCAGAAAAGAAGATAGGAAGCATACCAACACGTAATGAAAAATCACCCTAAAAAATTGTTTCATTCTATCAAATGAAGAAAACTTTCTTGAACAAATGCTCTTCAAAATTATGACTTCATCCAAGAAACCTTTTAGTCACTAATCCTTCTACTGTAATTATTTCAGAATGCTTAGACTCTCAAATGAGGTAAATTATCCTAGTACAAAGAACCACGTGTTCATCAAAATAGTCAAAAAGCAAAATCATCCTTTCTCTGTTCATCAAAATCTAACAACTTTATAGTATTTATAAATAAAAAAATATCATCTCTTCCCACCCAACTGAGGAAATAGGAAGGAAATGAAAAAATGGGGAAAACAAGGATAAAGCAATACAATTAAACACGGAAGTAAATTTCTATTTATTAATCTATATGTAAAAAAAGATTATATTTTAATTTAAAATCAAAATAGAATATCACCCAAGGTCAAACTAAGACAAATTGACATGATTGAGTAATCATAATCATCACATTTTCGGCCTCTCCTACACCATACAATAATAAATAAAATCGAATAACGTTATCAAAACCAAAAAGCAAAGCAGTTCACAAAAACATGATAGCACGTCTAATTTCACAGAACTTAATTTTAGTGCAGCCTACTAACAGAATTCACCGTTGTCCCTGATTCTACAAAAGATGGAAATAGAATAGTTTCGAGAAGGAGATACCATGATTTTTTGTGGAGATTGGATGCTTAAGCCAACAAGAAATCTGGAGAATGCAGCTTGGGTTTTTTGGTTGTTTACAAGGCATTCTTCTACCTCTGAAAGAGTGAAAAGAAGAAATGAATTGGGGAAATCTTTTAGACGGAGTAGAAAAGAATTGGGGAAATCCTCTAATACGGAGACACGACATGCCTCCGTGAACGCGGACGGAGGCACGTCGAGCCTCCGTCCACGTGCACGGAGGCACGCTGTGCACACTGTGCATCCGTGCACGCGTACGGAAGCACGTTTTGTCTCCGTCCGTGCGCACGGAGGCACGCTGTGCCTCCGTGTACGCGTACGGAGGCACGTCTTGTCTCCGTCCGCGTGCACGGAGGCACACTGCGCACAGGACGTGCCTCCGTTCTCGTGACAGAGGCCTCCGTGCACTCGAACGGAGGCACGACTTGCCTCCGTCCGTGTGCACGGAGGCAAGCTGCGCACCGAGGCACCGCCGTGCCTAACATCGTACACCCAATCTGCGATCCAAATTTTAACTTTGGAGCCAGCAGGAAATGATAGATTTTTCAGAGAAAATTAAATACGAAAAGGAAGAGCAAGAAAATGATAG